CTTAAAAATATTTTAAAACGTTTAAAAAAATATTGCTTCCTTAAGAGGTAATAAGGTAAATATAAGCAATAAAAGTATTTATTATATAAATATTTTTATCATATTTATAGTTAGAGTACTTTTAATATAATAGCGATTAAAACAAATAAACTGATATGGAAGGAAGAGATATAAGTCAATCAGCTCGTTTGAGCGTAGAAAGCGTCAAGGGAAAGCTCTCAGTAATAGTCAACAAATGAACATGGATGAACTTGTGACTCAAATACAAAACTTAATACATCCTTCCATACTGACACAAGTCCCCGATTTAATTCAAAGGGGCTTGAGTCCAATAAATCGGATGATAACAATAATACAGACCAGATAAGAGACTGTAATAAAAACCAAACAATTGCAGACATGAATCGCATCCCTGGTGTCGTCAGAAGTCTTCGCGAATTCTCCGGGCAACCAGGTGAATTTAGTTCATGAAAAAAAGTGCAGATAGAATCTTGACTATGCACGATCACTTACGTCGAACCCCCAAATTTTATGATGTATCACGCTGGGACCTCAACTATAGGATCCTCTTGCTTTCTTCGCGCCAATCTGAGGAGATTAAAAAAGAGCTAAAAGAAAGGGGCTTTAAAGTTCTTGAATAAAGAAAGATCACTATGATCCGACTTTCCTCTTCATGTTAATCTGTGAAAATTTGGAGGATATAAATAAAATTTACAAAATAGATGTACTTCAGCACACGAAAATTAAAATTGGGTCACCAAGCAGAAATAATTTAGTTCGTCGGTACAGAAGCTGTCAGAGATATGGGCAAACACAGAGGTTTTGCCAGTGTCTAGCTCAATGTGTCAAGTTTGGTGGTCCTCATTTAACGATAAATTGTAGTAAGCAAAAAATCGAAGCTCCAAAGTGTGCAAATTGCTCTGAGGCACATACTGCGAATTATAGGGGTTCTATAATCGTAAAGGAATCACAAAAAAGGAAAAGTAACCTTACAAAACATAAACAAACAAATAAACTACTTTGAGTAAAAGAGTGCATGTACGCCAAAAAGAATAAAAAATAATGGACGAAGATAAAATGAGAATTCCGATGGTGAACGCAAATGACGTTCTCAATAGAAAGCGTATATTAGAAATATTCCTAAGGATCCAAAGTATTGATATATGTATGTTTAGTAACGGAAATGCATTTAAAACAGCAAACAGATAAAAAAATAAATGGTTACATAGAATATAAATATACGCATCCTAATAATGAATCATAAGATCGTTGCGCAATTTTGATAAGGAATAATCATAATAAAATAAGCAAAGTAGAAAGAGCCGATGGTCAATTTGTTGCGATGTTCAAAATTTCGATGTTGTTACTGTCCTCCGGGTCGTATTATAAAAAGTGGTTCATTCAAAGATCTCCTGAATTTCCGTAAAGAAAGGTTTATTCTGGGAGGTGACTATAATGCCAAACATATTGATTGTGGTTCTAGATTGACCTCAACAAAAGGTAGAAAGCTAAGAAAAGCAATCAAAGAGATTGGTCAGTACCAATCCACTGACAGACCAACATATTGCCCAAGTATTAGAAATAAAATACCAGATCTGCTAAACTTCTTTATTGTCAAGAAAATCTCGCCAAATTTCATTAGTTTAGAAGATAACTTTGATTTGAATTCGGATCATTCTGTAGTTATATTAAATTTAAGTGAGAAAGTTACCAAGAAACAAAATAAGCCCATGTTGATTAATAAATGCAGTGACTGGACTAGTTTTAAAGAAGAGATAGAGAATAAAATAAACTTAAGAATTAAATTACGAACCCGGGATGATTTAGATTCTAATGTAGAGAATTTTAATAAAAAACATAGCGCTGCCTCGAATAATACAAAACAATATAAGCATAAATCCGTAGATATGACTTACCCGAGAAAAATACTGAATATGATAAGCGAAAAGAGTAAGACGCAAATAGCAAAACCTGCATATAAAACTGCACTCAATCGACTCACTCAGAATCTAAAAAGAAAACAGGAAAGATCAAAGAAGATTTATTTGATAACTACATAAAAAATTCCTTATGGAGAGCTGCAAAAAATATTAAAAAGCCAGGCTTACAATTTTTTAGGGTAAATAACATTCACTCAAACATAAATATTGCAACGGGAAATGTGAGAGCAGAAAACGTTATCGCTTCATTTGCAAAAAAAGAAATAGTGGAAGAAATAAAAAGTTTCAAGTTAAGGAAAGCACCGGGTTATGATTTAATTACCTTTGAGATACTGAAGCAATTACCACAAAAGGGTATAACAATGTTGACTTCTTTAACTTCCCCCTCCTGTTTGACTCTAGATAATCTGTCGGTTAAATAAGAAGAGAGAATATCGACGTATTACTTTGTTATGGTATCCAACTGCGGGGACGTGCAAAACAAATACATGTCTAGCGAATACAATAGTTCCAGAATAGGGTTTTACGCAATATGGTGGATGCCCGTTGGTATGTGCGAAATAGAGATTTGCACAGAGATCTAAAAATTCCATATGTAGTTGACGAAATTAACGAAAGAGCAGTGAGACATAGAGCTCGTCTGGAGCGACATGTCAATGTAGAGGTCTCTCGGCCCGTTGTTATTCGGGATTCTCCTAGAAGGCTAAAGATGACTTTGCCTTCTGATTCAGCGCAAAATGCGCTTCACGAAATCGTGAAGCGTTGAATCTCTTTCAATCTATATTAAATATAGTTTGATGGTTGGTCTAATACGACTAGTTTCAGAATATAAGGACGCGGTGTTGGTGGTAACATACGTTGCCAGGGAATGGCATGTTAGTAGTATTAATGCTTTCCTCCTTCTTTGATGAAAAAAAATATATATGTATGTGTATATATATTAAAAAAATTATTAGAAAAATAAAATATAAACAAAGTAAAATAAAAAAAAATTAAAAATAATTAAAAAAACGAAAAATACGGCAATGTCCAGGCAAGCATCGATCTAATAACTTTCTGGTTATCAGACTACCACGCTACCCACTAGGCTGTCTTTAATATTTTTAGGACGAATAATCGGAATAGGCTTAGATAAATTTCAACTTTTTTCAAACAAATCATATGTTTGGTGGCATCGGCATATTACTGTTTTATTTGTTATTGTTTTGAACGACGAATTAGAAATGCTAACGGAAGGAGCAACGCATTAGAAATACTAAATGAAGCAGCATCATTGCTTCTAACTCGCATACACTCCCTAAAAAACCGTATCTTGAAAAAAATCATAGTGGAGCCAAAAATAACATGTAAGTCTCTTTCTTTGCTCTAAGGATGGTCAAACTGAAATTGACATTATATTTTTTTTCTTAGAAAAGTACACCGCGCTGATGTAAACGCTAAACAAAGAAAGTTTTGTTATTTTAGTTATAAAATTAGCCTGAATTATAAATCAACTCTTGGGCAAAAAATAAAAAAAAAACTGTGGAGCCTCCACAGCTCGTACCTCTACAATGCAAAAATTTCCTTACCTCGAAACCATTTGAGGTCGCTTGAGCATTGGTATAACTTTTTTTATAAAAATTATTCTACACAGTGTTCCCACTCAATAAAAACAAAATGTATCCAATTTCGAGAAAAAAATGTATCCAAAATGTATCCAGCCTCCTAAAGTAGAATTATTATACTAAGTCGTCTTATTTTATACCAATAAACTCATAAATAATATTAATTTGCTTTATTCAACAATGTGAGTTTCGTTATTTATAGTAAATTCTTTTAGAAATCACACACAATTTCTATTACATTTTAAAATTTAAGGTCAGAAAATATATGTTCTGTAGCTGTTGAACTATGCGGTAAAAACGATTCAGCACGAAAACGGGCAAATTTTATTTAGTCAGCAAATAACATTTTTTGGAAGATAATGCACTTAAAAGTTACAGCACTTTAAAAGTTTTCTAACATTTATTTAGTGTTCGAGAAAGAAATGTATCCATATTTCAGCAAAATTTTAAAATGTAGCCAATTTCGACATTTTAGCAGATTTGAGTATCTTTGTATCCAAGCTAAATTTTAAAGCAAAAATGTATCCAAATGGATACAATTGTATCCAAGTGGGAACGCTGATTCTACACCTTGAATTTTCTTTATTCGAATTTCTCCTTACCTCGAAATAAAATTCTGTTCCCATAAAATAAAAATCTCTTCAACATGAAAAATATTTTACCAGAATAAGCAATTCAAAATTACACTGAAATGTAATTTTGTTAGTTTTCTAAAAATTTTGTGGTCTGAAATAATTTTTTTATGGTATGAGTAACATGATATAATTCAATGATAGACTCATTTAAACAAAAAAGAAAAACCATGTTTGACATTTGGAATTCTCTCAATCCACATTGGCGATTTGCAGTTTACACTTTATGTTTTTATTTTAAAATTTTTGTTTTCCCAATATAATCATTTCTATTATACTCATTTCTATTAATAATGAGATATAAAAAATATTTTTTCTAAATTTGTGCTGTTTTGGTCTCTATTAATTAAATTTTCAATTAACAATAAATATGTATTATAAACAAGTGAATATTATTAACAAAATTGTGAATATATATATGTAGATGAAAATTGCACTTTATTTTTTATAAAACTTGCTATAACTGTCATACCCAACTTTGAAATTGAATGAAATTTTGTACCCAAAAGCCTAAGAAATATATCAAAACAACTGATAAAACTTAAAATATCATATGCCCATCGCATAATTTTAAACAGTGTTGTTAAACTTTAGACGTAATTTTCTCGATTCATAAAATATGTGGTGGAACAAAATTACTCTCAGCCGGCAATATGTATATTTCTTATAGATTTACGATAATGTATGGTTAACTATTTTACGATCTTTTTTCTCAGTTGTTTTGTACGTATTTTTCAATGAGAATTCAGTTTCGAGATGGCATTTTTCTCTTCATTTGTCCTATTTTATGTTTTTCTGTTTAGTTCTTACATAAATTTCAGTTTGTGCAAGCACCATAACATCTTTTCCTTTTAATTTTCGTGTTTTTTAAAAATATATTTTTTATTTATTATGCAGTTTTGTAGTTTATATATTTTGTAGCATTTGATTTTAAACAAAACAAAACAGTGAATTTAATAAAATTGTACAGTGAATTTTTTTGCTTAATGCTAATACATGCGTATATAAGTGACAGAAAACATTTGTGTTTTGTGATTGATCAAATACATTTATCTACATACATACACACAAATTGACGACACGTCAGTTTAAAATTTCAGAAGAAAATAGTATGGATAGGAAGAAGGAAAGGTATCTTTATTCAATTTTAAGACCACTAACTTTATCTTGAACATTAGAAATTATTTTTAAAAGGTTTGGAAACCTGCAATCGTTTTAGGCATTTTATGTGCTTGTTTAAAAATCGCTATATTTTATAAGTATGACAATGAACAATTTTCTTAAATAATTTATTAGTTTTTTATGTTGGGAAACCAAATTTCACATAAAATATTTCCATCCAAATATATATGTATATAAGCACACATTCATTATTATGTATAGGCCCACATCTATATATGCACAATACAATTTCTTATATAAATAAATAGATAAACACGAACGCGATACTTGTGTTTAACTATTCAAAATTTATTGTTATGACAATAACTATATAATATATACGAATAACTAATGTAGAATAGAGAATTTAGTATTATTTAGTATCTTAAGTTACAGGTAAAAGAGTCAAAGACAATGTTTTGTCTAAACTTTATCAAAACCATTTTATAAAGCAAAATAACAAATATAGCAAAATAACATTAACATAGCAAATAGAACGAGCTAAGAAATTTCTCAAGGAAACCAGGTTTTTAAAATTGGTCACTTACCCTTTAGGAGTCGTTCTTACATAAGACTTTTTGTAATTTACACACAAACGTTTAAATATTTACAAGGAATTATATTTCCAAACACGGCAAAATGATACATATATGAAAAGAGGGATATATAACCTAATTGTGGAAGTTAGAAATTATTAATTATCAGAATTCATAGTATTTTCAAATGGATGTTTCACTTTGCAATAAGACTACTTATTTTTTCAATTGGATTTTTGCATTTTTTTTCAAATTATCGACCAAACGTCTCAGTTTTAGAAACAAATTGAATAAATTTTGTATGCATTTTAGAAAAAAACGAGATGCGGAATACCAAATATTTCTTCTCATACGAAAAATACATTATACAATTATTACTCACTTTCTTCTTTTTTCTGATCGTCTATTACTTGGAATTTTACTTGGAAAGTAAAATAGCGAGATAGACGATCAGGCCCTTACTTAGTATATTACAAATAAAATTTTGTAGTCATTAAATATTTTGTTACAGAAATAAAATTTTGCAATATAGGCAATTGTCTGCGTGCATTCATTTTTGCTCTGAAATTTCTTTCTTTTAATCGCAATTTACAAATTTACAAATTGCGAGTAAAAGAAATAAATCCTTATTTAGTACAAATCGAATTCCATAATTGCAACATTTAAATTGCAAATTTTATTTTCATGTTCAATCAAACATACCTGAATTATTTAAAATGGGTTGAATGTTAAAATAACTAGCAATAATTTCATAGCAAAAAATGCAGTTTCTCTTCTAAATCTTTTATAATTGTAGTACCTAGTTGAAACAGGCATAAACACAGATGTCTATTGTAATTTTTTTTGTCTAGTTGTCACTTAGATAAGTCCAATTTTAAAAAGAAATGTAAAAAAATATGATATTGTAAAACTCATAATTTCTGTTACTTATTAAATCCTATACAATACTTAAATAGTGTCACGTTAGAAATTTTAATAACTGATACAAGTTTCTTTATAAAATTTATATTATTCTCGTTTTTACATTTGGAGACAACTAGGAACGGTGAATTTGCAAAATGTAGTGGAGTGAATTATTAAAAGCATTGTACTTAGTTATTCTTAATTATTCTTTGAATTCTTATTTAAAATATAATAAAATTCATTTTATTTCCTATACGGAATACATAAATGTAGCTTCATCAGTTTATAAATATATATATTAGATTATTAATTAAGTTTTCATATACATATGCTCCCTGACATATGAAAGTGATGATCCTTCAAGAAAATGTGGAAAACCACGAAAGTGTGTATATTTATTAAAATTTCGAGTTGCAATTGGAGTTTGTGGTATTTTACTCGTAAAATTCGAAGTCTCATTTATATATTGTATGAAATTTTAAATTAATATTTTTTTAAATAAATAAAAAAAATCTGATGTATAAGTTTAGTATAAGTGTTGCAGAAGATTATGAAAATGAGTTTCAAATCCTTCTTTACTATTTTAAGAATACTAGCAAGCTTTTAGGTAACATGCCTAGAAAAGTATAAATTTGGCACCTGCAAAAATTTCAATTTGTGCTAGCCGAATTCTCTGAAAAATCACCAGTTAGCTTTGGTTCACCTGGATCCTCCTTTTTTTGTGAATGTATTTGTAAAATTGCCTATGAGCGAAATGACATTTCTGAAGAATTTTTATTTGTTGTTTTTTTGGAAAAATTATGATTTTTGCATATTTTCAGTTGGAGTTTTCTATAGGAAAAGCTGATTAAAACTTAAAAATTTTATATTGCAATGAAATTTGGAGTTTTCTGAACAACATATCAAAAGTTCAAAATTCGACTGAAAATTTTAACTATAATTTTAATTAAATATATTTTCCAGCTTTTTCCGCATTTTTTTTGTACCACCATGTCAGGCAACATATATGAGAGAATTAAGAGTAAATAAAGTTGGGTCAAACCAATGGTTTGTATTGTAGCATTTTTTCCTTCAAGAAGTGGAAATACTGCTTTTAAATACAGTCTATGCATATCTACCACACTATTAAAATTATTTTCATTCATAAACGAAACTATTTCTAGGATTGCATATATTTAGGATGAACGATTTATGCAGTCTTTTAAATTAAGCGAAAATTAATATAAAGAGGGGTTAACATAATGCTCGATATTAAGGTTTAATTGTGTTAGTTAAGAAAAATAGTTATATTTTTTAATGTAATGGAATTTACAAGTTAGCTTTTGGCGCTTATAGAAATTTTAAAAATCTTGCGGTTTCGGAAACATAAGGTGTCAAAAATTCAAATTTTACAAATTTCAAGAGGCGATAACTTGAGAGCGGGTGGACATGGAAAAAAATTTTCTTCTAACGAAATGAAGCATTTATGTCTAAAAGCCTCTTAAATTTGAACCTTCTACAGGCTGGGGTCTAGATGAAAAACAATATCAAAAATTTGGAAAAACAGACTTTAGATAACGGTAAATTTGAACGGCCATTTTGTTTTTCTAAAGTTTAACAGTAGTATGCCGCGCTAGGGGAAGCAAACCTATCCCACTGTCTTTCTACGTTTGCAAAATTTCAAAAATGCTTATGATTTCACTGTACTAAATACTTAAAAAATGGCATTTTTAGGGTTTTGGGGAGGTATAACTTCTAGAGCGGGGGAGATAGATAAAAATTTTGTTCTACGGAAGTAAGTTTCTAGTAAAGATCTATGTACGTATTAAATTTCAGCTTTCTATCTGCAAGGGTATAGAAGTTTTGTAAACAAAAAGTGTCCACGGACGGACGGATGGACGGACGAACGAACGGACGGACAGAGTGAAACTAATAAGCACTTTTTTTCAAAAAATTTTTGGAAAAGTGCTAAAAATGATAATACACTGAATAAAAAAAATTGGTGCTATATTTTCTAGTCTAGAATATACGGCTCAAAATAAAGTTAATAAAAATTTTATTAAATTTATATTTAAGTTTGTAATTATTTGATTTTAAGCTTTGTAATTATGAAAGTGCTTTTAAATTTTTGTAATTATTAAAAAAAATGCGTTGTTTCAAGTTGGCCCCAATAAAAACAAACATAATAAAAATATAAAGAAATTTGTGTAAGTTTTAAAGTAACTGATGCGGTAGTTTAGGTAAATTAGTAAATTAGCCTTACTAACAATGAAAATATTTTTTGATAAAACTAAAATCACATAACATATATACCTAAAAAGAATTGTATGGACTTTTCATATAAAAAGAATTCACATATGGAATAATTTTAGGATAATTTTTATTAAGCAGATAGGTTTTACAAGCATAATTTGCAATATTGTTTTTTTATGGCAATACAAAGAATTCTGTTTTTCGAATACATATTTGATCTAGAGAGGTAAAAATTTTTGAAATTAGGTAAAAACACAAATACAAGAATCCAGTTTTTGACGAACAGTGTCGAAATAAAGCCAAAATAAAAATTTTGGTGAGGAAATATGAATCGTATGATTTCAGGTAATCAGTAGAAAGGAAAAAAAAAATTTGAATATACTATATGAGAAAGAAGATACAATTAAGGATTAATTATATCTTCTTTCTCATATAGTATATTTATATGGGTGTTTTTAAATCGAAATGGCTATTTCTTGAAAAATATATAAACAAATTTATACTTATTCCAAAGTAGGTGAAATTCCGAAGTAATGTTTCAAATTTCTATTAAATATAATAATAATTTCATTTATAATTATTTTAAATTCTTAAAATATATGTACAAAGAGCGGAAAAATTACAAGCACATTCTACGTCTTCATCATTTTATGTGATACCACAGACATCTTTATATAAGACTCCGCAATACACAATTTATTAATCCCATACATACGGTGTATTGAAAATTAATCATCTACTTTGTTAAGAAATATATTCTTATCTTAACTATTTTCGAATGTATGATTAAATACAAAATACATGCAGGATTCATTTTGTTAAAGTAAAAGAATTAATATCATATTCTTACAAACTAGAATGTTGGAACTGTAATAAATTACAGTTATCGAAACATTTTTATTTCAAAACATTACCAAAACTTTTTTTATTACTTAGATATTTACACAAAAAAATAAAATTTTTATTCCATATTTCTTAAAACTAGTAATATTTCATCAGAAAACTTACAAATTTTATCATATAAATATACCTATGTATGTATTTACCTAAATTACACAAACTTATTTAATTTTGTTTTATTAGAGATTAAATTATTTTCTTTAAATTGTTAACTTCTTAACATCAGTAGGTAATTGGTTAAATTATATTTGCCACAGCCGACAGTATAAAATTTATAGCTCTTACACATTAAAAATACTTCGTTGGTGTCGAATACTTTTTTCCTAATGTTTGTATTCACTTATCCCCGATGACCTCGTTCTTTGGAACAGTAAATGTAGGTATATCATTTACGTTCTC